CAGGGCCCGCCCCCCCCCCGGGGCACCCAGATGTCCGGGGACATCAGTTCGGCTCCACCAGCTCCAAGACTTGAGGTGCCACCACCTGACCCAACCCTTGGGTGCCACCACCCGCCCTCGCCCCAGGGACACAGGAATCTGGGGCACCTCCCTGAGGGACACAGGGGTCCATATGTCACCTCCCTGAGGGACACAGGGGTCCATGGCACCTCCCTGAGGGACACAGGGGTCCGTGGCACCTCCCTGAGGGACACAGGGGTCCATGGCACCTCCCTGAGGTGACAGACTGACATGGGCCAATATGGGTCAACATGGGCCAACACAGGTCGACATGGGGCAACACAGGTCGACATGGGGCAACACAGGTCAACCAACATGAGTCAACTCAGACTGACATGGGCCAACACGGGCCAACACAGAAGAACATGGGGCAACACAGACTGACACGGGCCAACACAGGTCAACATGGGGGCAACATGGGTCAACCAACATGGAGCAATATGGGCCAACACAGATGGACATGGGTCAACCAACACGGGTCAACTCAGGCTGATATGGGCCAACATGGACCAACACGGGTGAACATGGGGGCAACATGGGTCAACACAGACTGACATGGGCCAACACAGGTCAAGATGGGGGCAACATGGATGAACATGGGTCAACCAACATGGGTCAATATGGGCCAAGGCAGGTTGACATGGGTCAACACAGGTCAACATGGGCCAACACGGGTCAACACGGGCCAACATGGATCACCATCACGCAACATTACCCCATCACAGGGGAGCACCACAGATACTGGCCGTACTGGGATCCCTGGGGGTGGTCTGTAGGGGTCCCCCTATAGACCCCATAGGGCCAGTTTGGACATATAGGGTCCGTAGGGGATCCCATAGCCCACAGAGATCCCTATGGGGTCTATAGAGGATGCGGGCCCTATAGGGAGAGAGTCTATAGGGCAGGAAGGCCCCTATGGAGGCCTATAGGAGGACTAGGCTCCATAGGGGATGCCAGACCTATGGGGAACCAGGGGTCTATAGGGGATCCCAGCCCCTATGGGGATCCCTCTGGGGGTCTATAGAGGATCGTGGCCCTATGGGAGTCCCTATGGGAGTCTATAGGGCACTGCAGCCTTACGGGGGACCTATGGGGCTCTATAGGGGATCTGAGCCCTATGGGGGACTCTATGGAGGTCCACTCGGGGTCTATAGGGGTCTGCGGCCATATAGGGGTCCCAGTGGGGGTTCTATAGGGGATCCTGGCCCTATGTGGGTCCCTATGGGGTCTATAGGGGACTGCAGTCCAGCAGGGTTGCTGATGGACGTCTATAGGGACCCCATACCTCTGGAGGTCCCTATGGGTATAGGGTATTGTTGCACTATGGGGGTCCCTATGGGGGTCTATAGGGGTTCCCTATGGGGTCTATAGAGCATTGTAACTCTGGGGGGGCCTATAGGGGCTCCCTATGGGATCTATGGGTCACTATAGGGATGTGGAGGTCTATAGGGGCTCCCTATGGGCTCTATAGGGTATCACAGCACGATTGGGGTCCCTGTTGGGGTCCTATAGGGGTCTATAGGGGTTCCCTATGGGGTCTATAGGGTATCATGGCACTATAGGGGTCCCTATGGGTGTCTATAGGGGACCCCATGGGGTCTATAGGGTATCATGGCACTAAGGGGTTCCCTATGGGGGCCTATAGGGACTCCCTATGGGGTCTATAGAGCATTACAACACTATGGGGGTCCTTTTGGGTTCCTAAAGGGGCTCCCTATGGAGTCTGCGGGACATCATAGCATTGTGGGGGTCTATGGGGGCTCCCTATGGGGTCTATAGGGGCTCCCTATGGGGGTCTCTATAGGGGTCCTATAGGTTTCTATAGGGGTCCCCTATGGGGGCCTATAGGGACTCCCTATGGGGTCTATAGGGGACCGTAGGGCTGTGGGGGTCTATGGGGGTCTATAGGGGTCTATAGGGTCCTATAGTGTCCCTTGGTCCTCCGGGGGGGGGTGGGCTCCCTCCCTGTCTCTATGGTTCGGGGG